AGCCACCAGCCACGTGGCAAGGTATAGATTTATAAAAATGGGTTAATTTAAGATATAAGAACAGTTAGCAAGAAGCCTGCCACGGCCATACAGTTTATAAATAATGTAAGCGTCTGAGTGATTATTTTATACATGGATTGTGGGACTGCGGGGTTTGGTGGAAGCTGGAGAGAAGCCCTCCAGCAATAGCGGTCCTTCTTTGCTCAGTGCTATCTGTGGCTTGTGATGTTGATGGCAAAAGCAGATTCCAAAGAAGGACGATGGCTGGTAAGGACATCTCCACTTGAGAAGCATTCATCAAGCTCTTACAGAGTGGCCACACAGTCTGTCAACTTAGGGGAAACACATGGTAGATGTTGTTTGGGTGTTGCGTGGTTTTTAAATTGTGTGTGTGTGTGTGTGTGTGTGTGTGTGTGTGTGTGTGTGTGTGTGCACGCGCGCGCGCACACACACACACACACACACACACACACACACAAGCTTCTGCCCTGCACTCTCCCCTTTGCTTAATCCCTTTGAGACAGATCTCTCACTGAACCTGGAGGTCATGGCTTTTGTCTAGGCTGGCTGACCAGCAAGTCCAAGCCATCCTGTCTCTGTTGACCACCCCCCACTGGAGTTACAGATGTGTAACTCTGTGTAGCATTTATGAGAATTCTGGGGTTCTGAATTCAGGTCTTCATGCTTGTACAGCAAGGCTCTTACCCAGCAGGCCATCTCCCAAGTCCTGGTGAATTTTTTTTGATACCTCATTGTAACAGGTATTGTCTTCCGTGGTGTCACACGTGTTCCCAATGCTGTCCTGCATGTAGGTCATTGTGCAGTTCAGGGTGCTCTGTGTGCCATTGCAGTGGGGGCCGCGTTCATCCAGAGTCCCCCGTAAGCTTCTACGCATGGCTCTGCTCTGTGTGGTGCTCACTGAATAGACCTTAGTTTTTAGTATGCCCCCTAAGTACTAATCGGGGGCTCCAGTCTACAGGAAGCAGTAGTGACAGACTCGTTTTCAGCTTCTCACCCACAAGAAACATGCGGCTAAGTGGAAGAAAACAGACTGCCCCATGACTGATAATATGTGGTGCCTAACACAGAGGCGTGCTAATTGCTAGGTTTCCTGGCAGCCTTGTGTGGCAAGCCAAACAGGAAACTCTGGTTACATGACTGCTGTTTAACTTCTGGTTTTGCACACTCTAAAAAAATCTTTTGGTAAGGCTTGGAGTGGTGTAGCCTACAATATACTTAGCGCCAGCTCTGTATCGCTGCTTGATAATGCTTTCCTTGCACGGTCTATTAAGACCCTGCTCCGTGTTCCTCAGCCAGGACTGTATGCGCCAAGAATGGCTGGTGTGCTGTTCTGTCTCCCAGGTTCTTGATCCATTGTTTCCCAGTCTTCTCCTGAGAGAGCAGAGGTGTGTGAGGGAGGGTGCATTTCCTGTATCACCGGGGATGATTGTTGGGATTCTCTCACGGGTTTCACCACTCCAGTTTCAACACCTTTGTTTGCCTCTGTGCATTCCTTCAGAAAATGCAGTCAGAAAGTGGGAGCAGCACCCTTCCTTCAAATGACAAAATGCGAACTGCAGTTGTACATGTGGGAAAAGAAAATTGTAGGCCTCTCTGTCAAGGTGCTTCCTGTGGGGCAGAGATGACTTCCTGTTAGTCATCTCTGGAAGAGAGGGGAAAGCAAATGATATCAAAAGAGGCATTATTTTTGGTAGCTGCTAAGTTTTTCTAGCTAAGGAAATGCAGTGCAAAGGTGAGCAGCCTGCTGTCTGTGAGGTCTGACCCTGTCAGGGATCCGGACAGTGTCCAGGTCTTCCTTAGCCAGGATTCAGAGGGAAAAGCACGGTTCTCCAGTCCACACCGCTCACCTGGAGTATCTGTGGAAGTTAGTCACCTGTCCATCCCGACAGGACTGTTCTAGCCCCTCATGGCTATTAGCTCTCTGTGGCTGTCAGCCCCTCCCAGAATAGAGCACATTTGTTTCCCTGCCGGATTGTAATCAGGGCTGTTCCTTTTTAGAAGTGAGTGTATGAAGTATGAATGGACAAGTAACTATTTAAGGAGAATGTTTAAGCAGGCAGACTTCAGGATGGGTAATACTGTATCAGTACAGTATCAGTGAGTTAGCAGTGGCCGTAATAAAGTGGGATTATTCTTGCGTTCTCTTTGTTCAGATTAGCCAGGTGGAACAGGATGTAGACAGGAGATAGAAAGTCACCGTGCTTAGTTAATATCCTCTTTTTTGAGCTGAGGATCTTGCTGGATGGTAGAGCGTTTGCCTAGTGTGGGTGCCTAGGCCCTGGCTCCCCATCACTCTTTGCGCTCTTTCTTAAGCCAAGGTTTCGTGTAACCCACACCAGCCTGGGAGTCTTTGTAGCCTGAGCATGACCTTGACCTCCGGGTCTTCCTCGGCTTCACTGCCTGAGCACTGGGATATAGGCGTCCACCACCACATGGACTTGTTCAGTGCTGGGTATCAAACCCAGGGCGCCTCCATCCTGGGCAAGTACTCCACAATTGAGCTTTGTCCCTGGCTCCTCTTTGCTCCTTTTCACTCTTCTCGGTGCAAATAACCCTTTTTCTCCTTAGACAGCACTCACAAAGCTAAGTGGCTCATAATGGCTTAGGGTTTAACACTGACTTCTGAGTATTAACAAAATTAAGTTATGGATTTCTTTATTAAAATGTGTTCCAAACCACACGTTTATTTCTGCGCTGATTATAGTTTGCTATCTCAAGGTATAAAAAAAAAAACGTATGTTTTCTTCCCTTGTTCTCTTCGGCCCTCTAGTTCAACAAAGTAATGCTCAGTCTCAATCCATGGCTCTCCAAGGCCCAAGCTTAACTGTCATTCTCCAGAACTGTGTTTTGAGACCCCCACAAAACAGCATTGAGAAGGGCTGTGTGGCAGGTGGCAGTCTGTGAGAAGACCCTCGTTGGTCAGTGTGGAGAAGTGAATGCCGGAGTTGACTGTTCAGTAGCGGGCAGAGGATTCATAGGGGCAGTGGGCCTGCTCCTGAGGCCTGGGCAGGATGGCGAGGGTGGTGAGTCTGTCTGGCATGATGCCCACACAGAACAACTAGAAGTTTCTATTTTGTCAGTCTGTCTTACCGTGGCCCTACACACATTTCCAAGAGGTCGTTCAGGTTGGGCAAGAAATGCGTTTTTATTCAAGTAGATACAGATTTCAGATAGCTTTAGCATAAAAAAAGAAATATCTAAGACAGTCCTTAAAGATTCAAATTATTCTCTTACTTGTAGGTTACAATTTGAACAACCTCATAAGCACTGCTAAAATTGTCATGATTGGTCAAAATAGAAGCATGAGTCAGGTATGGTGGTACACACCTATGGTTGTAGCACTTGAGAGGCTGAGGCAGGAGGATTGCTACAAGTTCCAGGTCAGCCAAACTACATAGTGAGACAGTCTCCTAAAACCAACCAAACATATAAAAACAACAACAAAACAATCTATACACCATGGTATTGATCATGGCAACTTCAGCTAACATACATTGTGGAATTTAAAAGAAATATGAACTCTAGAAAGTTCTCGAACTCTGAACTAATGTCTGAACTCTGTCTGCATTGTCCCTAGGCCCCGCAGTGGTTGGAAAGCGATTCCTGTCAGAAGTGTGAGCAGCCCTTCTTCTGGAATATAAAGCAGATGTGGGACACCAAGACCCTGGGGTTGAGACAGGTCAGTAGCTAGTGTTTCCTCATCTTGTAAGGATTTTGTACCTCATCATTTGTATCATTAATTTGAATTTTTAGGAAATCATACTTTGTTCTTCCAAACGTGGTTAATTCCTCCATTGTTTAATATTGCTGCTATGTGACTGACAATGAGCATAGTCTGTCCTGGGGCTGGTGAGAGCTCTTCTGTAACTGTTTGTCCTGCATTGGAAAGCTAGGGATGCCTAGAGAAGCCTAGAGTCTGCTGTGAAACTGCAGAAATGCTTGCATTTGGCACTATTTCCTATCAAAGTCAGCATTTCATACTAGCTAAGAATAAAATTAGAAAAATGAGGAGATTCAGCGATGCGCCTTAAGTCGTCACTAGCAGGTTAATAACAGCCCTCCCCAGGGTGTCTCCAGTTCTGTTGACTATTACTTCATTCTGAGTTGTGCCGGTATAAATACATCTGGAACATTTTCATTAAGACTTTCTCAAATCTCTCTTAAACTTTTTAAATGAAGAAACGGGCCCCCAATAGCCTATTTCTGAGCTCCCAATAGCTTGAGGTGCTCACGTGACTCCTAAGTCCTGTAGTGCCGTGCATTCCTGCACTGTCTGGCAGGTGGTTGCTCACTCAGGCCAGTATAGATGTGGTCAGCTAAGTGAGAATGCGGTAATTTTGTTCACCGTTGGTGGTGAGGGATTAGCCTAGCACTGTATGTGTTACTACCGTGGCTTTCACTCAGAGAACTGCCCCTCAAGGCCCCATCCAGACCAGCAGCCCAGGCTGGGCCTCTTTTATTTCTTATCACCCTGAAATGCTCTGCGGGATGCTTGTGTAGTGGTGAATAGCACATTATATATAGTTGGTGACATATTCCTTCTGAAGAAAACTCGGAGGGGTGAATTTTATGCATTAATAATTAATAGGAGAGAGAGAAATGGTCATTAAAGTGTCAGTGGTTAAAGTCTGTTACAGTCAGTCAGTAATAATTACTGGAGTGTTTTTGAATGTTCTGGAGGCTTATTTCCAGAGCCAGACTTTGAAAGGTCAAAAGACCACTATTCCCCTGTACAGATTATTTTAAAACTTACTTTAATGGAGGAGTAGATTTTCTTCCAGAATCTCCAGCAATTGAGTTCTTAAGAGAACTTGAGTTTGGTTTGAATATTGTTGCTTATTGTAGACCAGACACCGTAGGTCAACAGACACACTGTTGTCCAGTTTTTGTTGTTGTTGTTGTTTTGTTTTGTTTTTTTGAGACCCTTGCCTGTCGAGCATATGGAGTGTCAGTTGATGATGCCGTGAATGTTGGGGGTCTCTCAAGCATCTTCTCCGCAGCCCTCTTTCCCCTGCTTTCCCATGAAGCAAAGCTAACTCCTGTCTCCCTCCACCCCGGAAGCATCACTGCAGGAAGTGTGGGCAGGCAGTCTGCGGGAAGTGCAGCAGCAAGCGGTCCAGTTACCCGGTCATGGGCTTCGAGTTCCAAGTCCGAGTCTGTGATTCCTGTTACGACTCCATCAAAGACGAAGAGTAAGTGCCCACTGGAATTTGTCTTACTGTGTCCCGCCCCGCTCTGTTTGACGGGCATCTGAATGTGGGCAGCCTGAGGAAGGATCTCAGTTTCTACCCACATGCTTATCTCTTTGGGATGTCATAAACCATTTCCGTTTGTTTGTTTTGAATGACATTTGTTTATTCGTGGGTAGAGCATGTGTGTGTCACAGCGTGGGTGTGGAGGTTCAAGGACAGCTTGTGGAGTCCCTCTTCCCTAAGAATCGAACTGGTGGGAAAAGTACCTTAACTTGCTCAGCCATCTTGTCAATCCACATTTGAAGAGAAGTTCCTGTCCTACTTAGTGACTTTGGGTTGCTACTGTTTATCCCAAGCTGCTCCACTGGCTCGGACAGGTTTTTGTTTTTGTTTTTAATGATTTATTTATTTTATTTTATGTGCATTGGTGTTTTCCTGCATGCAAGTCTGTGTGAGGGTGTCATATCTCCTGAAACTGGAGTTATAGACAGTTGTGAGCTGCCATGTGGGTGCTGGGAATTGAACCTGGGTCCTCTGGAAGAATAGCCAGTGCTCTTAACTGCTGAGCCATCTCTCCAGTCCCCAGGACAGTTTTTTTGAGTACTGTGAGGCTGGCTAGGAGTAGTCTAGCCCCTGGGACCCAACTCCCAGGGCTCTGTGCAGAGACATGTTCTTGTGTAAGTGACGGCAGTGGTTGGGCTAGCCGACCTTTGTCCACTCATACAAATTTAGTTACTAAGAAGGCTGCGAAGACCTGCGCTCTTTCTTCAAACACTCTTAAATAACTTGATCAGACATGCCCTGATGTGGGCAGGTCCTTTAAGAGGATAATCACCATTATCTTTCCTTTCTCCTTGAACCATGGCTGCAGTAGCAGAGGCCTGTGTCCCTGCTCATGATGGCCAGTGATCTGATGGGAGGAAGTGGTGCTATTGGCTACAGAACAGAGTCCTGCATCATGGCTCTTATGGGTGGCAGAGGTTCAGGGGCATCTCTTACTGACGAATTTTGCCCATAGTCTCCTCCAGAGCTATTCTTCTCTAGTGTTATGGGCTCATGTTTTTATGTTTATGTGCCAGTCTTTCTAATGAAAACAACCCGTTTATTTTTATGCTGAGTAACCCCTTCTCCACCTCTTTGAGGTCCTGGCATTGGAGCCAAAGCCTCCTTAATTCTAGGCAAATCCTCTGCCATTGAGCTATACTCTTAGGCCTGATGAAACCTTTTGTACAGACAGCCTGGTTATTACCTTCCTGTACTCCTTTAATTGTAAACCATTGCTGTTTTTTAGAAGCTAATGTTAACACCGTTACTGTACACAAGCCACCTGTATTGCTAAAGGATCCCTTAGGTTTTCCTCTCGGTATAGTCAGTACGTTTCAGCGACACTTTTTCTCTGTTAGTCGGACTTCTCTAGCAACATTTCATGAAGGAAAACACAACATTTCCCATATGTCCATGGACATTGCAAGGGGACTGATGGTGACCTGTGGGACAGATCGTGTTGTAAAGGTAAGCTGGCCCGTTGGCATCCCACCTGAGATAGAGCCATCCTCATGCTGTGAATGGGCTTCCAGACATTTCTAATAACATTGCCATTCACCTTTGCTTTTTAGAATCAACTGACTGCCTGCTCAGAGCCCTGAGTGACTAAGCAGATGTTTGTGACCCCCTACACCCTGGGGTGGGGGTCACTCTGGTTCTTGTTTGGTCAGGATGGTGAGGGCTAGGTGCCCTTTAGATCCTGGGGGTTGTGAGCTGGACTCAAGGTTTCCCCTCCCATCTGGCTTGGGTCTTTGCCAATCCTTGTCCGCAACCTTTCCTTTCTTCTTGGCTAATGTTCCTTTGCATCCTATCCTATTTGTGAGGAATAATCACTGTTCTTTTAAACTAATTTCTAGATCACAAATAGAAGTTGAAGTAAATGTTTACTTAGTTGAGCCGTGAAACTGAAATATTTTATATTCTTAGACATTATAGTAAAATATTACAACATTGTTTTCAGATTTCAAGATGCTACCTAGAAGTGTTTTTCTTGTTGTTTGTTTTGGGTTTTTGTTTTGTTTCGTTTTATTTTCAGTGTAGTTAGTGAACTACATTGCTTTATCTGTATATAAGTCTTAAGGGGGTTTTTCTAGCCAAAAGGCAGGCAAGTCTGGGTCAGTGCTGACTCTTGAAATGAGACCCAGTGGTAAGTGTACTTTCTCTGTGTGCCTTCCTTGTAGATATGGGATATGACTCCTGTGGTGGGCTGCAGCCTGGCAACTGGATTTTCTCCACACTGATCCTGGAGCTGGGTGATGTCTGCTACACTTTGCGTACAGTGACCACCATGAAACGAAACCTTCATGTAGCTCAAGCCACTGTCATGTAAATGGACAGTAACCACCTAAAAAAACAAATCAATATTTTTAAAAAGAAAAAATATATATATAAGTGTGTTTTGGGGTATTTGTGGAAATTAATCTGTGGGGATTAACACCTAAAAGGTCTGTCCATAGTGATCTCCTAAGGAATGGAATTTCCTCAGCAAAACTGCCTCATGAACATTGAATCAGCGGGTAAGGAGGAAGTGATCCAGCAAATGAAGGTTTTAGAGGGAAAAATTTTTAACAAAAAAAGATTAATGCTTAGAACTTCTTCAGCGCAAACCCGTGAGCATACATGGATTCTACGGAGAGAGAGGGTCCTTTGAGGGCCCTGAGGGCACTCTGCTGTCTGGGCAAGAGCTGAAGGAAGGGCTGTCTGTCTTTCTTCAGGAGAGTTGGTAGGGTGTAAGAAACTCAAGCTTCCTCCCTCCAGGCTGGCTGTATGGGAATGCTCTCCGCAGTGAGTTGCTGATAGGCATCTTCAAGGTACCTGTTCCGTCAGGTCGAGCTTGTAATCTGCTCGTAATTGGCTCACTGCTGTTGTTTCTCTCCCAGCCAGTGTCCCATGGGTGAACGTTTACAATTGTCATTTCACAAGACAGCCCACAGTTGTCCCTTTCTCCCAAACCCCATCTGTGGACAAAGCTTTTTTATGGTGCTGTTGTACAAGCCGCCTGACATTTTTTTCTTCATAGCTAGTCATGACCCTTGGCAGACTCAGCTACCGGCATGGTGGCGATGGATGCCATCAGCCTGGTCCATGGAACAGATATAGCCCAGTCCTGCTAACAGATACATTTGTTGGCCGTCCCACGATGAGCCCCTGCGATACGGTAGCAATTTATGCCCCTCAGAACAAGTACTCGGAAGCTTTTACGTCATGTTATGCTGTGATTGTCACTAGTTGTCGCGCATGTTGCATAGGAAGAAATGGGTGGCCCATTGCTGAAATTATCAACCAGGCCTTGTACGGTAACCCCTAACTTGTAAATCACTTGTCATGTTTGGAAAAGCTGTTGTATAAAATGCATTTTCCAGGTGTTTGACCAGATTACCAGAATGAGGAGAAGGGGGACGGAAAGCCTGCGGTGAATGTCCAGATGTGTATGTATGTTTGTGTTAACAGTAGCACATGAGTTATTCCGGTAGAACTGTGGGAGCCAACAGGAAAGGGCCCAGTGCTTTAAAGGCTAAGTAATGAATGGCCACAGCGTCTTTGTGATGCCTGCTAATGGGTATCCACTAAAAATCTCACTGCTGCTCTGTGTTGGATTACATCACGATCAGGGCCATTGGGCCTGATAGGACTAAGGGACTAAAAATGTCTTATTAACATGGCTTACAGGGAGGGAAAAGTTTATATCGGGCAATAAAACTATTGATGACCATGATACAAATGAGGAAAGAAAAGGCAGCCAGGTGTACTGGGTTCTAGCTTTACACTGGAAGCTCTTGTCTTCAGAAGTAGGACCAAAGGGTTTTGTTGCCCCTTTTAATTTGTATGTTACGTCACCTTAACTGGCAATCCTTCACCAGATTCTGCTTCCACTCTACATGATGTGTATTGCTAATGTGCTTTGGACAAGAGACTGGGGGATGCTGTGAAACCACAATGTAGAGTGTTCCCCCTGGTCTGCTTCCCTCAGCTCAGTCCGTGGTTCTGCCCACGCCAAGGGAACTAGAACATGATGGAGTCGTCGCCCTGTGGAATAGTGCTGAGCCCTGTGTGGTTTCGTTTTCCTAAAACCGTCTGTAAAATGTGACTTTTGGACATCTGTGGTAGATTGAACTGAACACTCTATATTTTTGAAGCTTTTTTTTTATTTTGAAAGCCTCTTTCTTGGTGTAAAACCCTGTGTGGTGTGGAGAACATGAGGTCGGTTTGAGCTTTCTAAGGGGCTTAGAAATCAAGGAAGGAATTTCTGTTTAAGGAAGAACTAGGACGGGGACCTTGGGAAGGAATGCAGTTTGCTCCTCACTTGGGCCTGTGATCACTTCCTTCAGAAATGTTGGTGCCAGGCTCTTCCTGTGTGTCACACGTCAGGTAGCAAACGGGGTCATATTTTTTATAGAGGGTGAAAATTATATTCTCAAGTTTACTGACTGGGCACACGAGGTAGGGACAGTAAGGCGCATGCTCTTTGCCTTATTTGGACTCTGTTGCAAAATGAGTCCCTGAAGATAGTTCCTCAAGTGACAGCGACCATCTTTTCCATCCCAGAATTCTCAAGTTCATGTGTACAGATGAGGGGCAAGAACTGCAGAATGTTAGAGAAGAGTCTTGTACTTAGATCTAGTGTGTGCTAAAGTGATGCCAAGTCTTTATTCTCAACATGTTCTTCAGTGGTCCTGTGTTCGTTGGTCCCAGTGATAGCAATAGGCCTGTGATTGGTGGAAACCACTCATTCTTCACTAGGTTGTAACTGTTTACTGTGTCCTGCTCTTAACCCGCTGCCTGGAGGACACCAATAAACACTTATTCCAGAGTTTATTACTTTGTTCTCCCTTACAGTGATTCACTTTGTTAGCATCTATGTTTATTACATGGTCAAAATTGATCAAAATATACAATAAATAGAATAGCAGCCCAGACCCAAGAAGATATTTTTGAAAATCAGTGTTTCATTAAAGTACTATTGATATCTCCCAAATGACAAGAATCCAGTTACTATTAATGAAAAACGATCTATCTGCTCATTATAAATGGGAGGCTTAACAAATAAGTAATACATGCTAATTTCTGAAAGTGTCTAATGCTTAATTGTTAATTGTGAGTGGATTCTTGAATGTCTCGTCTATCTTCTGCAGTTTACTATATAATAACTCTTTGAGTAAGTTGAAATTTAATTGTGCAGCAAATTTCGATCAGAGAACAATTTAAAATGTTTTATTCTGTAGGCTTTTTTGACTTGGGAAGCAAAAAGGTGACATTAAGTAATTCGATTTGTCCTTGTACAGCTGTGTTTCCATATAATACTGTGTGCTCTGTGTATCCCAGAGAGGCTGGAAAATTTTGTCCTTTCTATTTGTGGGTTTGTTTTTGTGGGGCATTTGTTGTTGTTGTTTGTTTATTTTTTGGAGAATATGCATATAATAAAATCTCCCTTGCTTGTTACCATGCTGCTTAACTTGTGTTTGTTCTGTTTGCTCTGGACACAGCACAGGACATGTCTATGTCTGTGTCACCCTGACTTGGCATCCCATGTATGGTGATATTTTATTTATGCTGAAATGTGATTTTATTTGTATGTTAATAAATTAAGTTGCCTGGGGGTCAGAGCTAATAGCAAGCCATTTAGCAGAAGTCTGGCAGTGGTAGCACATGCTCTTAATCCCGATCACCTGGCAGGCAGATCTCTGTGTGTTCAAGGACACAGCCAGCATGGAGACACACGCTTAATATCAACCATAGAGATAATCTCAATATCAACCATAGAAACCTGGAGGTCTGTATAGACAGGCAGTGGCGAGGAGGTCATGTGGTTGGGTTTACAACCAATGAGAGGGCAGAACATAAAGTCAATAAAAAGACAGACACACAGGAAGTAGGTCTCTTTCTGAGGGGAAGGACGACAGCGAGGGGTAAGAAGGCGGTCTTGGTCTTAGCTCTTGGCTGCTGCTCAGGCCTCTTGGGCTTTTAACTCTGCATTTGGCTCTGTGTTTCTTATTTAATAAACCGTTCAGAATTACATCTTCACCCATATGCTCTGGACAAGTTACCCACATTATCTTTTTAAATTCTAGCATCACACCTCAAGTTATCTTTCATTTTCATTCTACAGATGACAAAATGAAGATGAGTCTATCCATCTGTCTGTCTGTCTCTGTGTCTGACTTAAAGGCAGGTGCCTTCTCTGTCAGCCCTGAAGTCTGGGAAACTTGGAGGAGTCACCAGTAAGTGTAGCTCAGGATAACTGCACAGAGCTGCATAGAGAAGCGACATTCTAGTCCCAGCTCTACTTCTGTGCTCATGGCTTAGCCTTGTGAGGTTAGATAAGGTAGGTCAGACCCAGGAGAACTGAATCCTCAGCTAACGCAGTAAGATAGATTGGCCTAACTAGTCAAGTTACTACGTGTTTCTCAAAACTAGATATCACGTTTTTCCTCTCAGGTCAAAACATTTTGGGGGGGGG